GAGCATGGGGGGAAAAGCGGCCCCTTGCCTGCCCTGTGGCCATCGTCCTGCGCTGCAGCCGCTCACAGTCCCACGGAACTGCCTGTGCCTGCTCAGGACAGCCCCGCGCGGACTACAAATGGATGCAGCAGGGAGCACGGGCCACAGTGGGCGAGAGGCCGCTTTTCCCCTGCACTCAGCACTAGCTCCTTCCCTGCTGGCGAGCAGGGGGTCAGGACTGTGTGCTGCCCCCTGCCTATACCATGGGGCTGAAGGGCACTGGGAGTTCGCAGGTGCAGGAGCAGGGCCTGCACCCATGTCCCAGGGCCAGCGCCAGCAGGGCCCAGAGCAGGGCGGCAGGGGTACAGGATCCCAGCCAGCAGGGTCTCTACGGAACCAGGCCAGCTCCTCCCTCTCCCTGCTGGTGCAGCCCAGCCCAGCTCCACAGTCCCCTGCCAGCCTGCACCCTGCTCTGGGCCCTACTGGTGCTGGCCCTGGGACATTGATCCCAAGATGGTGACCAGGGGACAGGGCACCTGTCAAGGGGCAGGGCTACCCATGCAGTCCTCGACAGCATGCCACAACTTGGTAAGCAGCCCTTCGCCTGAAATAATTGCCCGCCCCTGATCTATAGAGTAGTGGTTACAAGCACTTCCCTATTCCCCTTTTTCTGAAGCTTATTTTAGCAAGGGTCTGTGAGTTTTTTCATTTTCTTCTCTGCCTAATGAAGCATCAGATCCATTTTCTGACTTCCCATTTAAAAAAAAAAAAAAAAATTAAAGTTTTCCCCCCCAGTATTGATAGACTTGAGTCCTTATACTGGTATCTGAATGACTTGCACTTTGGGCAAATGTGCTTCTGCACAGAGCACGAAGTTCATTAGCTACAGATTGCAGAGGCTGATTTCCTCTTTCTGTGTGATGGTATTTGTGTTTGGGTCCATAGGTACATTTCTTCCCAGAAGGATTTAGTTGCTTCTTGTGTTCTGGAACAATTAGTTTCTTCCTAAGAAGATAGTCAGCACAGCCTTAATCTGGACAAAGAGTGTCATTAGGGGGCATGAATGTTGTGTCATCTTGTACTGCAAGCATGCACTTAAAAATATAAAGGTTTTCACAAGCTACCAGACCCAAAATTGGTGTCATCTCCCAAGGTACCACAATGAATGGGAGTTCTATCTTAATGTTGGATACTAGCAATGCATCTCCCTTTCAGTGACACATTTGTTTCTCAATAGTCAGTTATTTTAATGTTTGTTGGACTCACTTTTGGTTTTGATTTAAATTTTCTATATTCATGTTCTAGTAAAATATATTAACTTGAGCTCCAGTGTCTAATTTAAATTAATGAAACCATCATTCTTCCCACTTCCGCAGACAAAATCCAGTCCTTCTCATTGATTTTTTTTTTTTTTTTTTTTTTTTTTTTTTTTTTTTTTTTACTTGATTCAACCATATCTATATACAATTTATCGGGTACGCTCTCAACTTTATGAACCTGAGAGGTTTTTTTGTGGGGGTATGCAGCATCTGGCAAAATGATTGTTCTTTTTTTTTTTTTTTTTAAACAAGGACTTTCCAAATGCAGCACGATATTTGGGGCCAGGATGCCTTCCACATTTGCTGCAGGGCTGCTCACGAGCTCTCTCTCCCTTAGATTTCTCCTTACAAATGGAAAATTCCACACTGTGAGCTGGCTGCTTCTGGCCACGTGCTTTCATGCCTAATGCATGGAAAATTGCTTTTAATCCGTTCAGCGTGCAGCCTGGGCCTTCACAGTTTCTGCTGCTCTGAAAATCTGAATAGTCTTTTCTAGAGACAGGTCTCCCTCACACAATAGCGTTTCTTGTAATGCAGCATCTGCAGTGCCACAAGTAATCCTATCTTTAATCAGATTCTGCCAAGTTTCCTAAAACAGAACTCTAATTCAGGCTCTTCTATTCTATAACATATTGAGCTATACTTTATTCTGTTTGTTGGCAGGTTAAAAAATCTGTGTCTTTCAAGAGCCTAATTCTTTTGACATGCAGTACTCCTCAAATTTGAATATTATTTTAATTCATTTCATTATTTTAATTCATCGCATTTTGTGACCTTTCTCAAAAGTAAAGGTGTTATAAGCAGCCTGGTCTTTCTCCCTGACAGTATGCAAGAAGACTGAAGTTTCGATGTCATTTTTTCTTTTCTGCCCCTGTGGCTGCTAAGTGGACCACTGAAACCTTTGTCTGCATACCCTCTAGTTCTCTGCTGTATTGCCCAACATCAGAAGGGCAGACGCATGTTGCAAAATTTCCATGATTAACTGTCTGTTTACTAAAACTATAACTGTGCAGGAAGATCCCTTACAGAGACCCTTGTCCTTCCACATGACTGTATTGCTCCTTTTGCTCCCAGTTTCCAACATCTCT